AGGAGTCCCTTAAGGTGCACCCTCATCTCCTGCTTGCTATGGTCTGAATGTTTGTGTCTCTCCTGAATTCATATGTTGAAATACTAATTAATAAGATGGAGGTGGGCCCTTTTGGGAGGTGATTAAGTCAGTGGGGATAGAGTCTTCATAAATCGGATTAGTGCTCTCATAAAAGAGGCCCCGGAGAGCTGCCTTGGCCTGTCTACCATGTGAGGATGCAGCTCTAGAAGGTGTGTCATCTATGAGGAATGGCCCTCGCCAGACACTGATTCTGCTGGCATTTTGATCTCAGAATTCCCAGCTGCCAGAACTATGAGAAACAAATTTCTGTTTTTATCAGCCACCCAGTTGATGGTGCTTTTTTAAAACAGCCTGCATGGATTAAGATACTGCTTTTCTTCCTTTATACATCCTCCTGAAAGATTTCCTCTACCTCTGTGGCTTTAATTCCCCTATAAATGCGAATGAATCCTGATCTTACATCTCCAACCCAGTCCTTCCTCCTAATTCTACTACTATGTGTCTAGTTGCCTACCTAACTTGTCTAATTCCATGTATCACAGGCATCTCAAATTCAACTTGTCCAAACCCAGATTCCTGATCTGTCTTTTCTAGCTCTGGTTCTCTTCATCATATTTCTAGTTGCAAGAGAGGGGCACACCATTTACCCAGTTACTCAAGCCTGAAAGCTGGCATCCTCTTCCTTCCCGACATGCCATTTGAGCAGTCATTTTTCTACCAGTTGATGTTGCAGTGAAGATAAAGTTCCAAATCCTTGACATGCTCCAGCCTTCCCCTGTGAGCTGAGCGCTCCCACAAGAAGCTCCTCTATCTTCCATCCCCAGCCATTCTGACCTTCTGTATCTTTTGTGGACCCTGCTCCTGCCAGCCCCAGGCCCTTCCTTACTTATGCTGTCCCTTTTCCTGGCCCTCTTGCCTGGCTAACTTCTGCTCATCCTTCAGTTTGTGAACTACTTATATGCCATTCCAGGACCCTGAACTTCCTTATGGCAGCCATCCTGATTGTTACTAGATTATTTGTATTGTTATTTTGTTCAGTGTCTATCCCCTCTGCTGGACATTGACTTCACATAGGCAGGGACGGGGTCTCTTTGTTCGCTGCTATGTCCCAGTTACCACCCCAGTTTCCAGCCAGGAAAAGATGGTTGTTTCCCTGCTTTGATAAAATACCCAGACAAAAGGATGAGCTTATCGCTCTTGCACCTCCTTCCCGAGTCTTCCCTGGTTGTCACCAGCAATGATCTATTATGTCTGAGCTGAATGTTTCTCACTGCACACTTGCTTGCTCAGAGGAAATAGAGGAGGGACTGTTTTTTCGCTTTCTCTTTCTCTTTAGCCTTTATTCCTAACGCTTGTTTCTAGTCATTTCTTTTAACCAGCTTCCTGAGAAGAATTTCTGTTGTCTTTTCTGAACTCTCTTTTAGATCATGAGAAAACAAAAGTTTATTCTGATTTTGGGTAGAAACCTGACACTGAAATTGGTGGTGTTAAGTACATTGCCAAGTAACTGAGATACATTTATCCTATTTTTAAAAATATATATTTTTTCTGATTATAGGAGTGATTTTATTGTTAAGAAGAATTTGAGAATACAGTCAAGGGTCTAGTAGAGAAGAAATGGTAGACATTCCTCTCAGAGTTTTCTATTGTAGAATAAGGTCCTGCTGTACATATGAATTTTGTCCGCCCTTTTTTACTTCACATTGATATTTTGATAAAAGCCCTGAAAAATGGGAGTGAAACCTAATAGACTACAGTTTCGGACAACCCCCAAGTGCAAATAAGACTGCTCAGCAGCTTCTAGCAGGACCTGCTTCCTCTAGAAGCAGAGAAAGGAAAAGTAACAGGCTGCCCGGAGACCAGGCTCCGCAGAGCCTCCCTCCTGCCTCGCACATGCCAAGCCTGCCCTGTCCTGGTGCTTGCAGTGTCCATTGGCTGGACACCCTGCCTCTTGGATGATGCCTTCTACGCAGGACATCTCTAACACATTGCTCTCTGTTATGGTGTGTTCCTTAAGCCAAACTTTCTAGGTTTAATTGCATTGGATGTTCATGGATCCTTGTGTCTCAGACTAATTGTCTGTGTATTTGTTGATATTTGTTCTTGTCTATTTTCATTTTACTTTTTAATTCAAGGCAAGAGACCTGTTTATTTTGTGCCTAGTGTGGAATTTGGTGCCCAGTCAATAATCTTTTTTTTTTTTTGAGAGACTCTCGCTCTATTGCTGAGGCTGGAGTGCAGTGGCGCCATCTCAGCTCACTGCAACCTCCACCTCCCAGATTCAAACAATTCTCCTGCCTCAGCCTCCTGAGTAGCTGGGATTACAGTCATCTGCCACCATGCCCGGCTGATTTTTACTAGAGATGGGGTTTTACTGTATTAGCTAGGATGGTCTCGATCTCCTGACCTTGTGATTCACCTGCCTCGACCTCCCAAAATGCTGGGATTACAGGCATGAGCCATCATACCCGACCAATAATCTTAAATAATCTAAAAATAATGTTCTGCCCAAATTACAGACAACCAAATTAGAGTCCAGTTAAAATTGTCCTTTTATTTCATAATTTTATCCATTAATTCAGGGAGCATTTAACAGTGCCTGACACAGTTGCTAGGCATGGAGTATCCATTAGTGAATAAAACAGGGCAGAAAGAGAAAAATAAACAAACAAACAGGGCTAGTTCCTCTTGAGGCTGGGCTTCTAGGCTAGTTTGTTTATTTACTTATTTATTGAGACGGCTCTTGAAGCCCAGTCTGGAGCAGTGGCGAGATCATGGCTCACTGCAACCTCTGCAACCTGGGTTCACGCAATTCTCCTGCCTCAGCCTCTGGAGTAGCTGGGACTACAGGTATGTGCCACCACCCCCTGGCTAATTTTTGTATTTTTAGTAGAGACGGGGTTTCACCATGTTGGTCTCCAATTCCTGACCTCAAATGATCTGCCCACCTTGGCCTCCCAAAGTGCTAGGATTAGAGGCATGAGCCACTGATCCCAGCCTCTAGGCTAGTTTAATATCAGATGTTACACAGATAATAAATCGATAGTTTGAATTTGTGATGAGACTTATGAAGGAACATGGCAAAGTGCCCTGAGAGTGCACTAAAGCAGGGGTGTCCACTCTTTTGGCTTCCCTGGGCCATACTGGAAGAATTGTCTTAGGCTACACATAAAATATGCTAATGATAGCTGATGAGCTAAAAAAAAAAAAGTTGCAAAAAAAATCTCTTAATGTTTTAAGAAAGTTGATGACTTTGTGTCGGGCCTCATTTGAAGTCGTCCTGGTCAGCATGCAGCCTGTGGGCCACGGCTTGGACTAAGGGGAGATCTATAGGAGCTGGCATGGGGTGTTGGTGGAAGCCTGGAGGCTGAGCCCTGAAGAGAAAGAGAAGGTGGGTCAAGGTGAGGACATGAGCTCTTTTTGTGAGGGAACCAACCAGAAGGTGATGCATTCAAGGTAGAGAGTGGTAAACAAAAGGGGGAAATGGAAATGGTTATCTCTTTACTTTAGTAACTGGGAATGTAAGTCTCCACATGCCGTGTCTCTATTCTTTCTAAAAACTTTTCAAGGGATTCATTTAGCCTTCCTACAAGAGTATTTTGGTTTGCTTTTGAGCAGGTCTTTCTGAACCTGCTGTCCTATCCCAGATTTATTGACACTTTTGTTGATGTTTCTGAAAGGCAACTGGAAAGGGCATTAGCAAATCAGGCTTTCAACACCTATCTGTGGGTTCAATAAAGAGGAATTCAGCTCTTCTTGATTGCAGATGTTGTGTTGTATTCTGGGTCCCATACGAGATCTTGACTGATCCAGGAGTGTCCCCTTGAGGAAGAAGGACCCTCAGCCAACAGCTGCCTCCCAGCATTTTTCCCCAGGGATAGAAGTCACCCACTTTATGAGCAAGTCCTTAACAAGGAAAGAAGACAGCACTTGAAATTTTCATTGAGCTGTTGGGATTTGTTTCAGAAGACCATTTTGTCCCAGTGTGGATAAGAGCTTATTCCTTCATTCAACAAATGTTGAGTGCCTTCTGTGTCTAGCACATTTCCAGTGCTGAGATACAGCAGTAAACAGCTTCCATCTCAGTGGATGAAGACAAACTGGAAACAAATAAGTGAAATACAGAGGGTGTCAGCTAGTTTATAATCGCTACAGAGAAAATTCAAGGAGGGAAGGCGGCCTTAGGGATAGTCACTTGGGAAGTGGAGACAGGTGTCGCAGTTGTTAAAAATAGCATCAGGAAAAGGCTTACTGGGTGACATTTGAGCAAAGATTTGTATCTGGGGGAAGAGCATTCCAGGCAAGAGGCCACGGTGGGTGCTATGGTCTTGCAGGAACATACTTGGGATATTTGCGGAACAGCACAAATCCCACAGTGGCTTGAGTACAAGCAGTGAGGGAAGAGTATGTAAAAGAGGAGGTGAAAGGGAAAAGGGAAGACCATGCACATGGGGCCTTGTGCGCTGTGGATACTTTGGCTTTCTCTCTGGTTAAACAGGAAGATGCTGGAGGCTGTTAAATTGGCTGTAGGGGAAAGGGTGGAAGGAGGCTCTGAGGAGATGGTGATAGCATGGATCTAGATGGAGGTGGTGGAAAGAGATCAGGTTTGAGATCTATTTTGAAGGGAGAGCTGATGGACTGGATGAGGGCTGTGTGAGAAGGAGAAGGATTGGGAGAGGAATACGTTTTGGACTTATTAAATTTAGATCCATATTAGGGTGCTCATATCAAAAATGTAGTTGGGAGTATGAGTCTGGAGTTAGGGGAGAAGCCTGGGTGGGAAGGGTGTCTGTGAGCCATCTGTGAGCAAATGGTATTTACATCCACGAGACTCTGGAGTGACTGTGTGTTGGGTAAGAACTTCAGCGCCAAGGGGTTGGGGGCATGAGAGGGATCAGTGAAGGAGACAGAGGAAAGGGGGCCAGCAAGGAGGTAGAGACCAGGTCTGACGGTGAGTGGCTCTCTGGACCCCTGTGCAGGTGTGACAACGTGCGTGTGTTTAAGCTGGGCCTCTTCTCGGGCCTCTGGTGGACCCTGGCCCTGTTTTGCTGGATCAGTGACCGAGCTTTCTGCGAGCTGCTGTCATCCTTCAACTTCCCCTACCTGCACTGCGTGTGGTAAGCCCCTGCTAATGGGGAGGTGGTGGGGGACAGGTGTGTTTGCACTTGCTGTTGGGCTCTGTTCACCCTGCAAGGTGCACAGATGTCCCAGGGGTTGCTGGCTTGCCTCTCTCCTCAGGTGGACTGTCAGGTGGTTCAGAAGCCACTGAAAGTACAGTCTGTAAAAAGCTCCAGGGAGCAGGCTTAGCTAGAACAAAAGGCCTGATTGTCATGCTTAGGTCTGCAGTCTCTTACCTCTAACTCCATTATGAAAGCCTACAGAAGCTTGAGAACTGAATCTGTAACCTGAGCTCTATCTAGCTGTTGCGGGAGGGGAGAGGTAGGGGAAAGCTGGGGAAAGAGGTGATGTGAGGGCTGGGAGGGTCCTCAGTAGGAACCCCACCTTTAGGGCCTGAGTGACCAAGTGAAAGGAGGGGCTACACAGGCCATTTAGGGACACTCTCTTCCATTATTTCTGTTAAGTGGGGACAGAAGACCAGAGAACTAAAGTGAATTGTTTAATATCACCCACCTGTTTATATAAAAAACCGTGGAGTTCAATAATAGCAAATTATAGCATCTATACTTTGGAATGTTCAGGAATCACTGTTAAAAAAAATAAGCAGGTTAGAAAAATACATGCAGAATTTCATTCTGAGAAAGCTGGGTGAAATCAGAGGGGCTTACTTCCTAGAAACTGCCTCAGCCTCAAACCCAGAGTGATGGTTCCTTCTCTGTCCTCCAGGACTTCTGATTGCAAAAGATCAATAGGAGGAGAAATCTGCTGTAGATTATTGCTTACAGATGAAGGGAACCCAAGGAGAAATTCTAGTGCTGAAGAAATGGAAAAGCTTTAGATATGGATTCTGGAAAAGGTTGACTTCTATCCAGAGATGGGCTAAATATACACAATTTGATAGAATTCACTTAAGTTCCCTTGCTCATGTGAACTTGTATATGTTTCCCATGAGCCCCACCCTACTCAAAATGTAGGACTTGGGGACTTGAAGAAGTGTTTGCAAAAAACAAAACTCAAACAGCACAAGTTGGAATTTACAGTCATATCTGTCAGTCTTTTCTTTAGGGTTTCTGGATTTTGTGTGATTTTTAAAAAGACTCCCTCCCCCCACCATCAAAGTTTATAAAAATAGTGTGTTTGGGCCAGGTGCGGTGGCTCACGCCAGCACTTTGGGAGGCTGAGGCAGGTGGATCACCTGAGGTCAGGAGTTCAAGACCAGCATGGGCAATGTGGTGAAACCCCATCTCTATTAAAAATATAAAAATTAGCTAGCTGGGCCTGTTGGTGGACGCCTGTAATCTTAGCTACTTGGGAGGCTGAGGCAGGAGAATCTGTTGAACCCAGGAGGTGGAGGTTTCATGAACTGAGATAGTGCCATTGCACTCCAGCCTGGGTGACATTATAATTTAAAATATATTAAAAAATTTTAATTCATCTGGGATTAAGTTTCAGTTTAGGTATAAGAAAGGATTACATGGCCGGTTTTGGTGGCTCACACCTGTAATTTCAACACTTTGGGAGGACAAGGTGGGTGGATCACTTGAGGTCAAGAGTTCCAGACCTCTTGGCCAACATGGTGAAACCCCGTCTCTACTAAAAATACAAAAATTAGCCAGGCATGGTGGTGAGTGCCTGTAGTCCCAACTACTCGGGAGGGTAAGGCAGGAGAACTGCTTGAACCCAGGAGGCGGAGGTTGTAGTGAGCCGTGATTGCACCACTGCATTCCAGCCTGGGTGACAGAGACTTCATCAAAAACAAGGAAACAAAAAGGATTGCATGCTTTTAAATGGTCTATTGTTTGATAAAGATTAATATTAAAACTTTTTACAGGTACAGTGAGGATAAATTTTTTAAAAATTTCCACTAAACTGGAAAAGTGGTTTAATCAACATAAAATTATTCCTGATGAAGGGCATAAAATATCTAACCAGTGGTTGACGTGCAAAGATGGGATCTAATCAGATATGCTCAGTTACTTCCATCTTAGCACCTCTGTTTTAAGTCCTTGCGCCTCAGTCTTCTTGTTTGAGGCCCAAAGGCATTTATTTGCACATTTGTTTGTATTATCCAGCAGCCATATTTTAGGACGTTCTAAGATGGGTCCCAAACTGCCCAAGATTTATCATCCTGCTATTCCAGGGATTGTTGGTAATCTTCATTCTTTCCTAATTAGAAGAGGCTCCTGGGCTGCAACTATAGTAAGCAAGGTGGGTGGGTTAGCCCAGAAGGAGCAGGCTAAACTCAGGGCAGTGGAGTCTTCACGCTCATCAGGCTCTTACCTCTTGTCTCCCTCTGCAGGCACATCCTCATCTGCCTTGCTGCCTACCTGGGCTGTGTATGCTTTGCCTACTTTGATGCTGCCTCAGAGATCCCTGAGCAAGGCCCTGTCATCAAGTTCTGGCCCAGCGAGAAATGGGCCTTCATTGGTGTCCCCTATGTGTCCCTCCTGTGTGCCAATAAGAAATCATCAGTCAAAATCACCTGATGGTGAGGTGGTGGCTGGCTTCTCCACTTACCGCCCCTCATGCAGTGGGCTTCCTTTGCTAGGAAGACAGCCAAGGGAGTTTGAAGAGTTGGGATGTGGGCTATCTTTTCAAAAATCAGTTTGCTGGGACTCTCACTAATGTGTCTGTAGACCACCAGGATTCCACTGTGCAAGGGGAAAAGTGTCTTTTCGTTTCCCAAAGATGGAAAATGGAGGACTTAGGGACATCAGATGCATCTTTCTCAGCATCACTACCAGATGCAGTGACTCATTGGGCTGTGTCCTTTGTGGCCACGGCAGAGCGGTCTTTTGGGGGATCCACCCTGTACAATGCATCTCTTCCTGGAGGAAGCTGGCCTGTTCCAGACCCCACCACTCCCAGGTACCCTTGGAGTGGACTCTACTGATGACAGACAGGCCGACCCTCTGACAGACGAGACCTTCTGACTCTCTGATGGAAGATGCCAGAGATTTTCCTTTGGGATAATTGTCCTTAAACAAAACCAAGCTGATGAAACACACGCAGGACTTGTGGCTAGAAGGCTATTTTTCACTTGCATTTCCCAACTAACCCAGGTTTTACATGCATTTGTGAATCTTTTTACTACTACCTCTGTGGAGAGATGGAGAGACTTCAGATAAAGGTGAAGCTAATGAGTAAAACTCTCTTATGCCAAAACCTACACTCCACTTTAGGCCATTCTTGAAGATGGGCACAATTTTTGAATACTGACATCATTTCTGCCTCCCCCCTCACCCCAGCTCCGCAGCCTCAAATCCACAGAGAATAATTATGGCATGAACGTTTCCACAGACCCACCATCTTTAAGACTTGACCTCTGTAAAATTACCAAAGGGCCCATCACAATTGTGGTGTGAGTTCTGGTTCAAAATTTGGAGCAAACATGTATTTTTTGGATACTTTTTCTCATTTGAAGCCTCCAGTATGCCGTGCTATTCTGGAAATTACCTTCAAGAATCTCACTTCTTGTTTCTGATGTTTTTTCTGTGGGCATCATGCTCTTCACTCTTACAGTAGAAGGTGCTTTCTGGGTTTTCCAGAGTATCCGATGGCTCGCTTTTCTCAAGTACTGGCAGTAACTACACACTCACAGGCTGGTTTTGGGTTACTGGTGTAGCAGCGCAAATCTGTTGCCTTCTGAATTTTTCTGACCTAATGTGGGAAAGACACTGGCTACAATGAATCTTCTCTTCATCCGGGTGAATGGAAGAATTAAGAACTGTCTTCAAGATGCCTGGTGGGAATTACCAACCTCAGGGATACTAATTTTAACTCAGGCATGTCCTGCTTTGCAACATTCCATTGTGGGGAGAGGGAGGGACAAGTGTTTTCTTGTGTGGGCAGGAGTCATGTCATTGTCCTACATATGTAAGAGTGGGAAGGTGACCGTTTTTGGCACATCCAGGAACTTTTTCTCTAGTTAGAATTTGTACAAGATCCAAGGGGAAAACCCCATAAGCAACTTAATTTAGAGTTTAAAAATGAATGACTTTATGCTGTGTCTCTGATTATCAAATTATATAAGTTATTCAAAAGCAGAACTGTTTGTATTAAGAAATCTTCGTGGAGGCCTAGCGTGGCGGCTCACGCCTGTAATCCCAGCACTTTTGGAGGCTGAGGGAGGCCGATCACCTGAGGTTGAGAGTTCAAGACCAGCCTGACCAACAGGGAGAAACCCCGTCTCTACTAAAAATACAAAATTAGCTAGGCATGGTGGTGCGTGCCTGTAATCTCAGCTACCTGGGAGGTGGAGGTAGTGGTGAGCTGTGATTGTGTCACTGTCTTCCAGCCTGAGCAACAAGAGTGAAACTCCATCTCAGGAAAAAAAAAAAAAAAGAAAGAAAGAAATCTGTGTGGAACCCCAGTGTGTGAAATAAATTGTATTTTGTTAAATTTACAGCATTTACTTAACATACGAGGTGGTGAAAATCAGGGTCTCACTCTGTCACCTAGGCTGGAATATAGTGGTGCCGTCACGACTCATTGTAGCCTCTGTCTCCCAGGCTCAAGCGATCCTCTCACCTCAGCCTCATCAGGAGCTGGGACTACTGGTGTGTGCCACCACTCCCAGCTAATTTTTGTTTTTTGAAGAGATGCCATTTCACCATGTTGCCCAGGCTGCTCTCGAACTCCTGAGCTCAAGAGATCCGCCCACCCTGGCCTCCCAAAGTGCTGGGATTATAGGCATGAGCCATCATGCTCAGCCTAAAAAATATTTTTAAAATGATCTTTGAATTAAATATTCATGGAACTTCTAATGTACCTCTTTCAGACCTAGGTGGTCGATGGAACAGAACTGCTAAGTCCAGGGTTTCAAGTTTAGAATTTTTTAAAGGCAAATATCACACCATCTTCATTTTAGATTGACCTTATCAGGCATGGATTCTGGTCTCATCTATTTTATGGCATAAATGCTCCAAGGTAGGGTTTTTTGTTTTTTTTTTTTAATGTGAAAAGCAGAATGTGCTTCTAGAAACTGGTTCTAAAGAGATGAGCTGAGAAAGAAATGTGGAACGGAGTATATTTGAGGAGGACAAAACTAACTTCATGTTTGAACAGAAATCACTCTAGCTTGCCAGCATGGGATATAAACCAAGAGAGTAGAGATATACCCATCTTATTTTAAGTTGGGTTTATGGCATTACTCATTTATGTAAAAGCATTACAAACTCTTTAAAGAAAATTGGGAAACTGCAGAAAAGTTGAAGAAAAAAGAAGTAACCCATATTCTGTTGCCCAGGTGTAACCCTTGTTAATATTTTGATATAGTCTCATCTTTTTTCCCCCAATATTGTTGTAAATAAATGATGTCTTTCAGAGTTGACATTTATCCTGTAGCTTGAATGGCATATAAATGCCAGTTGTATATTTTGGGTATATGATGTGTGGGTTTGGAATACACTAGAGTTAGCTATATGCTTGAATGCTGATCATTGGATTCTGAGACTGACTACTGAATCTACCTTTTTAACCAAGCCTGACATGAATGGGCCCTAAAAAGTCATGAACTGAATTCCACTTTTTGATGTGCCTCTGCACTTGGCTTGATGAGTCATCATAAATAGCTGTTAAATATGTGACTTCACAGATTTTGATATGTTCACATTGTAAAAATGAATAGCTTATTTCATTAATTGATGGGCAATCAAGAATCTCCCTCCCTCCAGTAGGGCTCACACTTAGGAGTTTGGTTATGGCAGTGGTTGCTTAGCATGGCTCTCAGATTTTGTTCTGGTCAGAAGTTGGCCAAGTTCAATATCCAGCAGAAACTGGAGTTAGGTTATAAAAAGCCATTCATGTTTCCGGGTGATCATTTCAATCAGTGATTTATGTTTTACAGTGTTTAATTGTTGATTATTAGAAAAAGAAATCTTTTCTTCTCTGTATGATTATATCATTAAAGGCAAGTCCTTCTATGAACACATTTAAGGTATGTGGGGATGATATGTCTGAATCCATGTGAGGACAGGCTGTATTTTGGGGAACTCTATGCCTGTCTAGTAAAGAGTACCTAAAACATTAATTATAGGTCAAAGATGTTCCGTTGGGGAACAAAGCTTGATGGTTATCAAACACAAGGCTTTGTAAAAATATGACCACCCGTTCCACTTACTGCATCTCTCAGGTATGTAAACTTCTCTCTCCAGTTCATCGGGCTTCCATGAGCCAGTGCCATGTTGAGTCCCCAGGACTGGGATTTGAGCCTTCCTGGCTCCTTATCCCTTGGGGTGGACATGGAACCATCTCTGGGGTATAGGTGGATGCTGAAGCTCACCCAATCAGGCAATCAGTGGCCCTCTCCTAGCTCCTTTTTTTTTGAGACAGAGTCTCACTCTTTTGCCAGGCTTGAGTGCAGTGGTGTAATCTCAGCTCATTGCAACCTCTGCCTTCTGGGTTCAATCGATTCTCCTGCCTCAGCCTCCCGAGTAGCTGGGACTACAGGTGTGGCCACCATGCCCAGCTAATTTTTGTATTTTTAGTAGAGATGGGGTTTCACCATGTTGGCCAGGATGGTCTCCATCTCTTAACTTCATGATCCGCCCACCTCAGCCTCCCAAAGTGCTGGGATTACAGGCATACGCCACTGCGCCTGGCCACTCCTTTTACACTGAAACTAATCATAAAGCTTTCATAGCCAAGGCTTTGCCTAGGTGCTATTATTCTAGCTGGCCAAAGAGAAGTCTTGGGCCAGGTTGGGATTCTTGATGGATTTTATAGACATCCTCCTCCTACAAACTTAAAAAAAAAAAATGACCCCTACTGAATGGGACTAATTGTTTGAATCGTATCTTTCTCTATATGTTAAAGCAGATTTAAAACTATTTTATAATCACAATATGTAATCAGAGCAATATAGTGTTTTCAGATATATACCTTGTTTTATACTTTGTATAGGGTGTGCTATAAAATGGTGGCATGCCCACTGGCTGTGGTAAAATTTAATCTCCATTACTTTGGGAGTGATTTAATGCCTTTTGAAATGGAGCTTTTGCACTTTATACTCTTTCTGTGACCTACGATAACTATATTTGATATTAAAGCTGTAAATAGCATTTTCTGCAAATGAATATGTACATGTTTGTGTCTGTTTCCAAAATGATTTAACTATTTGCAGTGAGAATGTATCTAATGGATTGTACAGCAAAGCACATTGCCCAAATTCATTTGTTAATGAATTGGGTACCATTGTTATTAAAAATGATTAAAATAATTGTAGTTACTTGTTGGTTTCTTCTTAGAGCTGTGAAATTAATACATGAAAAATTTTCCAGTGTCAAGTACCTAAGTACAGTTATTTTTTACTAAATCTTCTATAGTCATGTCATATGGATATAAATCTCAAATATAGGCCTTGTGCGGGGGCTCCCATCTGAAATCCCAGCACTTTGGGAGGGCAAGGTGGGTGGATCACCTGAGGTCAGGAGTTCGAGACCAATCTGGCCAACATGGGGAAACCACATCTCTCCTAAAAAAACCCCACAGAAATTAGCTGGGTGTGGTCACTTGCACCTGTAGTTCCAGCTACTCAGGAGGCTGAGGCCAGAGAATTGCCTTTACCTGGGAGGTGGCGGTTGCAGTGAGCCAAGATTGCACCATTGCACTCCAGCCTGGGTGACAGAGTGAGACTCCTCAAGAAAAAAAATATATCTCAAATATAGAATATAGTTCATTTGTGCTGGATTTCATCAGATCACTAGAAGAAAGATCTTGTGACATTTCAAAATCATAAATTTAGCAGGAAAATGTTTATCTACCTATTTCTTTCTTTTAATTTTCTGTGACAGCTGTTTAAAGTTAAAGGATTCATAGTTCAGCAGATTTAAAAGAATAGTCTAGGCACAATGGCTCATGCCTGTAATCCCAGCATTTTGGGATGCTAAGGTGGGTAGATTGCTTGAGCTCAGGACTTCAAGAACAGCCTGGGCAAATGGTGAAAACCTGTCTCTACCAAAATTACAAGAATTAGCCAGGTGCAGTGATGCACACCTGTAGTCCCAGCTACACGGGAGGCTGAGGTGGGAGGATTGCTTGAGCGCAGGAGGTAGAGGTCACAGTGAGCAGAGATCATGCCACTGTACTCCAGCCTGGGCCAAACTGTGAGACCTTGTCTCAAAACAAACAACAACAAAAATGACTATAAGAGAAGAAATACTGGATAAGCATTATCTGTATCATTACAGTGGGTTTTTAGACTTTTTTTCTCCTGGAAGAGGTGAGGGGACAAGGAGTGGCCCCAAAGTTCTTTGACAATATAAAAGCTGCAGGAAAATGTCCATGTACAGGTTGAGTATCCCTAATCCAAAAATAAAAAATCAGAAATTCTCCAAAACCTGAAATGTTTTGAGCACCTATATAGCAATCAAAGGAAATGTTCCTTGGAGCATTTCAGATGTCTGATTTTTGGATTAGGGATGCTATATAATGCAAATATCCCAAAATCTGAAAAGATCTGAAATCCAAACATTTCTGGTTCCAAGCACTTTGGATAAGGGACATTCAATCAGTATATAATTTTCTAGGGGTTCAGACATTTCTAGTAGCCCATCCAGGTAAAGAGCCTCTGCCCAACAGGAGACTAAGCAAGCATTCAAATCCTTTTGGTGCTGAAATTAGTTACTCAGTTTCAGGACTGAACTTTTTTGAGGCTGTGGTCAGGGACAGTGGCTGAGGAAGTCGAGAGCCCTGCTTCTGGGGGACTGGCATGCGTGTGTGTACCTCTCTCCCCGACAGTCTGTACTATCTGTTTCTCCTCGTAGGTGTCTTCCTTCTTGAGTCTGTCTGGGAGTTGACGCAATCACGCCTCTTCCCTTTTCCAGATTGCCCTTTGAAGACCAGAGCTTAGGAGCTAGCCTCTCCCACTCTTCTAAGGATTTTTCACTAAAAGACATTACATTGAAAGACTGCATTAAGACTATACTATAAAGGGCTGGAGTGGCCGGACCCAGGGTTCTGGCAACTTCCATCTTAAGGTTCCTCAGTAAACTGGGAACTTATATTTTTCCTTGCAGCCTCTTTCCTGGTTTAGTTTCATATTTCTTAAGATGGTGCCTGGGTTTATTATACTACTGTCTACTTTTGTATAGTTGGATTTTTTTCATAATCAAACGCTAAAAGATATGGTGTTCGAGTTTTGTTCTCTACTCTCGGTAGAGTGGGACTCTGCCTCCTTTCCTGCCACGTTTTAAGAGGACTGGCAGCCCCTCTCTCCCACCGGAGTAATTATCTTGTCTCAAGTGGCATTTCTGTCTGTCTCCAGGCTGGCGGCACCTAGTTTCCCTGGGAAGTCCTCTCTCTGGGTGTTAACTCACAAAAAGGAAGAGATCACCCTCACCTGGGTTTTGTTTATTTTATGCTTCTCATTAAAACAAAACATTTGATTCAGCTGCTTTTGCAATTAAGCGCAGAGACCAAAGTGCTATTTTTCAGATGCGACAAATAGCAGTAGCTTATTTTTATATTAGGGCTAGTGATAGGAAAGTGGCTGAAGGTAAGGCCAGGAGCATGAAGTAGGGGAAAACATACAGTGGCACCGATATTTGCTAGAGAGGGTTTCCGGTGAACAAAGCAAGCCATTAGCTACCGGGGTGGGAGGGACTGACACGCTCCTGAAGTAATATTGCCATCTCGTGGCTTTTTGAGGCATTGCTATATGGCGCAAGCGAAGCCTTTCCCAATTCCTAATCCTCCCAGAGCTCACCAGTAGTCTCAAAAGGGCCAGCCGGGCCGGGCGCGGTGGCTCACGCCTGTAATCCCAGCGCTTCGGGAGGCAAGGCGGGTGGATCACCTGAGGTCCGGGGTTTCTGAGACCAACCTGGCAAAAAGGAGAAACCCCGCCTCGACTAAAAATACAAAAATTAGCCGGGTGTGGTGGCAGGCGCCTGTAATCCCAGCTACTAGGGAGGCTGAGGCAAGAAAATTGCTTGAACCTGGGAGGTGAAAGTTGCTGTGAACCGAGATCTAACCATTGCATTCTAGCCTGGGAGACAAAGCGAAACTCCGTCTCAAGAAAAAAAAAAGTTTCAGAAAGCCAAGTTATGTAATCTTTCTGAGCCCAGGTATGTTTCCCTGGATTTTTTTTCCCCCAAGTACCTCTTTGTCTTCCTTTTCCTCTCTTCTCTTCTCTTAGAAATTCAGTTTTCACTCCCCGGGTGTTTTAGAAGTTACCCAGTGTGGTTAAAGCAAATACGGTTGGCCCCTGGTATTCGAGGGGATTGGTTCCAGGACCCCCAACCCCATACCAAAATCCCAGAGGCTCCAGCCTCAATATAAAATAGCATCGTATTTATGTATGCTTTAAATCATCTCTGGATTAATTATAATACCTAATACAATTTATATGCTGTGTAAATAGTTGTTAAACTGCATTGCTGTTTTTGGGTATTATTATTTATTGTTATGATTTTTTTATTGTTTCTTTTTTATTTTTGATCCATGGTTGGTTGAATAGGCGGATGTGGTACCTGAGGTTACAAAGGGCCTGTATTTCAAACCAATTTAAGGTAGATGAGATTTAGAGGAAGTTCTGTGTATTTGTTTATTAGATATGGGGTCTTGCTATGTTGCTCAGCTCAGGCTGGAATGTAGGGGCTATTTACAGGCACCAGAATAGCACTCTACAGTATTGACCTCCTGGCCTCAAGCGATTCTCCTGCCTCGGCCTCCTTAGTAACTGGGACAATGGGCACTAGCCACAGGCCAGTCTAGAGGAAGTTTTTAATCCACTGGAGTGAAATTTAACTTTTGGGATTAATAGCTCAGTTTATACAAGTCAAATGTGATTATAACTCACGTCTTTTTAAAGATGAATCTACTTTAAATCAACACTTAGCAAATGTCTGCTTGGTGTTACCTATTATGCTGCCTGCAGAGTGTTATAGGGATGGACAGAGCAGCTCAGAGGTGGGGAGGGGACAAGGCCACTAACTCTGCAGAATACCTGTGGAAAGAGGAATCAACAGTGCTGTGAGGCAGGCAGGAGAGAGTGGTGAGTCTTCACCAAGGAGCTGGGACTTGAGAACTCTAACCCATGAGCCACATATAATATGGAGTATCAGTCCAGTGAAGTAATAGGTAGACTCCCTAGGAATATTATCGATAGACTCCCTAGAAATTTTCTTACAAGCAAACCTTATTTGACAGCCCATCACATACATGATCTTTCACATAAATGGTCTCACTTACTACATTCAGCTACTTTGTGAGGCTGGCATTACTATTATTCCTGTTTCGGACATGATACAACTGAGGCTTGGAAATGTATTGTGACCACTGCTATTGCAAGGGTGTGAACCCAGATCTTTTGATTCTTAGCTTTAATTCTCTTTCCACAAAGGATTTATGGCAAATGAGTTAAAGGTTTTCATATAAATGGGCACCAAATTGGAATTATAAGTTTCAAAACAGTCCTATTAGTACAAATAATTAGATAAAATACAGCTGGTCTTTCATATGCATGGGTTTTATATCTGTGAATTCAGACTTAGATCAAAAATACTTAAAAGAAATTCAGTATTGAATATGCAAAAAGTATTTTTTCTTGTTATTCTGTAAGCAATACAAGAACTATTTACATAACATTTATATTAGTTATTATAACTAATGTAAAGATGATTTAAAGTGTAGGGGAAGGCCAGATGCAGTGGCTCACGCCTGTAATCCCAGCATTTTGGGAGGCTGAGGTGGGTGTCACTTGAGGTCAGGAGTTCAAGACCAGCTTGGCGAACATGGTGAAACTCTGTCTCTACTGAAAATATAAAAATACGCCCAGGCATGATGGTGCATGCCTGTAGTCTCAGAGGCTGAGGCAGGAAAATCACTTGAACCCAGAAGGTGGAGGCTGTAGTGAACCGAGATCGTTCCACTGCACTCCAGCCTGGGTGACAGAGCAAGGCTCTGTCTCAACTAAAACAATAAAAGTACAGGGCGGAATGTGCATATGTCATATACAAATACTGCATGACTTTATATCCTGGACTCGAGCATCCTCAGATTTTTGTAAACGGCAGCTAGTGCAAAACGATCTACTGCTTAGCAGTCCTGGATGCTGGTACTGCTTGTGGCCATGGTGAGGAGCCACAGGCTATCTCTTTGCTCAGTGATAGAATTGCAGTCTCATTATTTCCTGGCCATCTCTATTTGGATGCCCATAGACACCTCACACTTGCCTTTACTTATACTTCTCTTAAATCTGGGCCTTGTCCACTTTCTCAGTGAGTGGTGTCACTTCCCATTCAGTTGCCAGAGGCAGTCCCCACCTCCCTCAGTTGTCTATATCCAAGCTATTTTGAGACAGGGTCTTGCTCTGTCACTGAGGCTGGGTGCAGTGGTGCGATCATGGTTCTACGGAGCCTTCATCTCCCAGGCTCAAAGGATCCCTCCTGCCTCAGCCTCCCTAGTCACTGAGACCACAGGCGTGTATCACCATGCTCAGCTAATTTATTTTGTCTCTTTATGTTGCCCAGGCTGGTCTCAAAATCTTTGGCTCAAGTGATCCATCTTGGCCTCCCCAAATGCCATAATTACAGGTGTGAGCCACTGTGCTCAACCCGTATCCAATCTAATAGTAAATCCTCTTAATTCCACTTCTCCAGTGTCTCCAATCTATTAATTTCTCCTTATCCTCAAGAAGGTTGCCCACTCGTTCTCCTGCTGGAGCCAGAGCTGTCTTTCTAGAGTGGAATCTGACAGTGTCCTTCCCTGCTCAGGCCCCTCCAATTCCTCCCCATTGCTCTTAGAACAAAGGAAACCTTATTGGAGACCCTGAATATGATCCGAAATCTTCACAACCTAGTCCCTGCCTTCCTTTCTAGTCTTTCTGGGTTTGAGCATCTCCCCTTTAACCCCTTCACGCGAGTCTCTCAGAGCTTTGTGTGCTCTTCCTGATCTTTCACATGGCCTTTGGTCCCGTCTCCATTGCTGTGTAACAGATCACCTCAAAACTCAGTGGCTTGAAACAGCAGAAATTTCTTCTCTCACAACTCAGGAGGGCAGAAGTCCAAAATCAAGGCGTGGGCAGGGTTGGCTCCTTTTGGAGGCTCTGAGCAAGAATCTGCTCCGTGTCTCTACCTCCAGGTCATGGGGCTTCTTTCTTTTGTCCCTGTGGCTGTATGTCTACGTTTCTCCTTTATCTTATAAAGATATCAGTCACTGAATCGAGAACCCACCCTCATCCAGTATGGCCTCATCTTAACTAATGAATCTGCAAAGACCTGTTTCCAAATAAGGTCACGTTCTGAGGTTCTGGGTGAAGGTAAATTTTGGGGGAATACTATTTGAACCACTATACTGTCATCTGCCAAGTATGTGGAATTCTCTCCCCACTTTTGGCTAAAATCGGCAGAATGGATTTAGCATTGTGAAACGTGTAGACTCTTCCTGCGTATGCATGCACCTTGCACACACATGTACATGCACGCTGACGCGCTGGCACACACATACCCAGAGCTTCCTCTTCTCTCCCGTGGTCTCTACTGATATTTCCTGTAATACCTTTTCATGCTCTCCCTGTGAGGCGGGGTGGGGTATCTCTATCTATAACCAGCTGTAGAAAAGGCCCCAAGAAGCAGTGAGGAAAGGCAGCACCAAGGAGGAGAGGGGTGTGGGCTGAGCTAGCAAAGAGGGGGTTTTAGGAAGCTGGGCCAGAGATTCACTTGGAAGAAAACCTGTTGTCTTTCCAAATCTTAGGATGTCTGGTGGGATAAAGCCATCCAGGCTGGCATCTCCCCACTCACACCACGTGGCCTCCTCACCTTTGCATTCCCAGAGACAAACCCAGGGTCTGGGAGACTGAATCCAAACATCAATTATCAACCAATCCATATGTAGAGCAGCGGTCTCCAATCTTTTTGGCACCAGGGACCGGTTTCATGGAAGACACTTCTTTCTACAAACTGGAAAGGGGAATCCAGTTGTGGGTGGGGGTGGCGGAGAATGGTTTTGGATGGTTCAAGCTCATTACATTTATTGTGCACTTTATTTGTATTATGACCTTGTAATGTGTAATGAAATAATTACGGCTCACCATAATGTAGAATTGGTGGGAACCGTGAGCTTGTTATCCTGCAACTAGATGGTCCCATCTGGGGATGATGGGAGATAGTAACAGATCATCAGGCATGAGATTCTCATAAGAAGCATGCGACATAGATCCCTTCACATGTGCAGTTTATAACAGGGTTCATGCTCCTATGAGAATCTAATGCCACTGCTGATCTGACAGGAGGCGGAGTGTGCAACACAGTGTGATGGCATCTCCTAAGTCTTAGTATTACTGCACTCTGCAAGGCACTAGATATAATAACCAAGGATTAATATCAATGGGGTATCTGGCCACCCCCCCAAAATTATTTGTAAAAACTCAGACTCCAGTTGAATAGTGCCAAAGGCACACATTTTATCTTCTGATACGCACACAAAATGCTACTGACAAATCACCAAAATTAAGCCCTAATTGTATCATCCCTCCTACCTTCTTTGTTTAAGGGCTTTCTTACAACATATTGGCGGACGTCATCTTCTTTAGAGAGATTGAAAAGTTTGCGGATTCTGCTAGCTCTTTTAGGCCCCAGGCGATGAGGCACGGTGGTATCAGTTAGTCCAGGAATATCCTTCTCTCCTTAGAAGGAACAGATTTCAATTCAGTAACTTCCTTATACTTAAGAATCCTAAAATCATAAACCAATGTTTAATGTTGAGTCGATGGGAAAGAAACAAATCCGTTGGTCTAAGCCTGGATACTGCAAACGAATAGGCATTTGGACAACGGCTTTAATTCAATTTCAACAAAATGGAATACAAGTATAACCCTCACCTTTTTTTACAATAACCAAGTTGAGAACGCTCAGATTAGCATCCACAATGCAACCACGAACTGATTTTCTCTTTCTTTCTCCAGTTCTCCTTGGTCTGTAACAGGAATGCCCCTTACTCAGTAGCAGGCGGACACGGCCATGGGTCAAGACACCCTGCTTCATAGGGAAACCTTGTTTGTCATTCCCACCACTGATTCGGACCACATAACCCTGCAAGAGCATACAATGAATGACACATTTACTATTTCTATTCCAAAATTATACAGTACAGGATTGTGACCTCTGTGAACCACACCTATTATTTGAGAAACTATAATTCATTAAGACCAAATTGAACTTAATAAGCACACGTTTTCTGTCATCAGTAAGTTTTCTCTACATTTCCAACTTGTCAAGGTCAATTATCAAATGTCTTTCATTCAAGTCGCATTTACAACCCATGTTTTAGTAGAGATAACAGCACTAAGATAAAGTTAGATAAACTAAGATAAAGTAAAATATCAAAGAGCAACAAACACATAAGATACAACCCGTCTTGGCACTTTGGGGATTACCAGGACAGCTATGTGACATCTGCCGAATGAATAAGGCAGGGCAAGAATTATGTTGATGGAAACTTTACACCTATTTTACGACTTACTCTACATTACCCCTCCAAGGTAATAGGACCACTTTATAGAGTGACATTCGGAGATAACTTACCAAAGTCAGAAGCCAGAACCCGGAGTCTGAACCCCGTTCCAAATACCAATTACCAATGGCGTTTAAGATGTCTGAGTTAAAACACCCGCAACAAGCTGACTGTCAAGTTTTACCTTCCATTCTTCACCCAGAGCGTCAGCGGCAACTTCTGTCGCCATACGCTTCTCATAAAAAGTACGAAGTTTGCGTTCATCGTCCACTTCAATGAGTTTCTGGCAGCCAGTGGCTGGGAAGGAGATGTTCAGCTAAGGATTAAGAGGAGGAAAATAGCTTAGGAAACTACCTACACAGGTATTTGTAGAGCCACCTACAAAGTTAATTCGACCGCAAAAAGCATTTCATGTTGCCTTCACACAAGCAGGAAATATCAGATGCCCACGGTACCAAGTATCAGTCAACAAACGCCGCACTCAAGAGGGCACGTTTTCCCCTCAAGCCCTGCCGAATGACTCTGGAGGCAAGGGCGCTCGCAGCCGCTCATCGGCTGGAAGCAAGAAAGCCGGGTCAAGAGCCGCACCACAGGCCTGCCGCAAATCAGGCAGCACACCGCCTCGGTCCCGGCAGGGCGCGGGGACGTCACCATGGCGCTCCCGACCCGCGGCGGCTCCAGCCGCAATCGCCCGCCATCCGCTCCACCGAAAAGTTCCATGCCCCAGAAAGGCGAGCCTTCTCCTACTTGAGACCCTTCTCCATCTAAAGCCAGGATCTTCCAGTGCTGAGGCTGAGGCAACGCCACGTTCTGGGACTCGATGCCCGCTGCTCAAACCCAATCCAACGCTAGCCACCACCACCTACCTTCATCTTGAAACAGCTATGCGCCTTCCAGGCGCCACGGAAAAGAGGGCCAACTTTCGCTTAGTGGATGTCACATAGGGGTTTTCAGCTCTCGCCAGATGAGCAGATGTACGAGATAGCGGAAAAGAGCACTGGTGGGCGGCACTTCCTGGGTCGAGGTTAACCAGGTCTTGGGAGGCGAAGCTGGTTGGATTTTGGTATGAGGCAGTGACTAGACGTGGTGGTCTGGTGAGGCAAGCCTGCGTGAATTCTGAGGGTTAGCCCCTTCCCTGTCTAATCTTGTCCACTCTCCCTGGGTTTTGGAGCTGGGCGCCAGCGGAGCCCCACTTCGGTCCCGGACACTGTGATTCTGATGGTACGAAAATAGGAGGGCAAGGCCAGGCGCAGTGGCTCGCGCCTATAATCAATCCCAGTATTTTGGGAGGCCGAGGCGGGAGGATCACCCTAGGTCACGAGTTCGAAACCAGCCTGGCCAACATGGCGAAATCCCGTCTCTACTAAAATCATAAAAATTAGCTGGGTGTGGTGGCGGGCTACTGTAGACACAGCTACTAGGGAAGCTGAGGCTCGAAAATCGCTTGAGCCCGGGAGGGTGCGCTTGCAGCAAGGGAGCCAATATCACGCACCTGCACTACAGCCCAGGTAGGCTACAGACCAAGACTCCGTGCCATTAAAAAAAAAAAAAAAAAAAAAAAAAAAAGAAAAAAAAACAGGTTCGAGTTCGAGATCAAGTAAACAAGAATAATTTTTACTTTCGTGGCCTGGCGCGGTGGTTCAAGCCTGTAATCCCAGCATTTTGGGAGGCCGAGGCGGGTGGATCACAAGGTCAAGAGATCTAGACCATCTTGGTCAACATGGTGAAACCCTGTCTCTACTAAAAATACAAAAAGTTAGCTGGGCATGGTGGCGCGTGCCTGTAATCCCAGCTACTCAGGAGGCTGAGGAAAGAGAATTGCCTAAACCCAGGAGGCGGAGGTTGCAGTGAGCCAAGATCGCGCCATTGTACTCCAGCCTGGGTAAAAAGAGGGAAACTCCGTCTCAAAACAAAAAATTTTTTTACTTTCCAAAATTATCATATACCATCTTCCCACTTTAGTATCACAAAGGTTTGAGTTTAGGACTATTTTATGTTCAAAGTTGAAGGATTCCACTGACTTCCCTTTGATCATCTCACATTAATTCGTTGAATCTTGGTGAAATGATGCTTTTTAAAATCTGAGTACTGTATGTGATTTTTTGGTTGAGGTGAAATTGGCATAACCAGTCATTTTAAAGTGAACAATTCAGTGGCATCTAGTACATTCACAGTGCTGTACAATTACCATCTCCATCTAGTTCCAAAACATTTTCATCATCCTAAAAGAAAACCCTATAACCCATTAAACAGTTGACCCCCTTCTCCATTTCCACCAGGCCCTGGCAACCACCAATCTGTGTTCTGTCTCAGTGGATGTACCTATTTCATAAAAATGTAGTCATACAATATTGACCTTTTGTGTCTGTCTTCTAATCTTTTCAGTCGCAGCGTGTATCAGTACTTCACCCCTTTTATGGATCAATAATATTCTAATGTAGGTATAGACTGCTATTCATCCATCAATAGATATTTGGGTTGTTTCCACCTAAGTTCTTCTGTGTTTGAGTACTTGTTTTCAGTTATTTTGGGGATATATATCTAAGAGTGAAACTGCTGGGTCTAAAGTAATGCTATTCTCAACTCAAGGAGAAACTGTGAAACTATTCCACAGCAGCTGAACCATTTTACATTCCCACCAGCAATGTATGAGGATCTCCACATTATGGCCAACGCTTGTTTATTTTTAGTTTTTAAAAAATTTATTGTAGAGACAAGATGGCAAGATCCTGTTCATCTGGAACTCTTGGCCTCCAGCATCCTCCCACCTCAGCCTCTGAAGTAGTTGGGACTCATTATGGTTAGATTTGCATTTCAGTAGTGACTAATGATGTTGAGCATGTTTTAATATGTTTGTTGGCCATGTGTACATCTTAGAGACATATCTGTCCAAGCTCTTAGCTCCCCGTTTTTTTGCTTAATTATTTTTATTGTAGTAGTGGGAGTAAATTAATGTGACGCAAAGAGTAAAGTTTAGAAATATGTACGTTTTGTTTTTCTTTTCCTTTTAAAAATATGTTAGGTTGGCCAAGCACAGTGGCTCACACCAATAATCCAAGTGCTTGAGGAGGCTGAGGTGGGAGGATCTCCATCCTCAGCTTCCTGAGTAGCTGGGACTATAGGCATAAACCACCATGCCTGGCTAATTTTTACATTTTTACTAGAGACGGGGTTTCACCACGTTGGCCAGGCTGTTCTCAAACTCCTGGCCTCAAGTGGTCTGCCCCCGCGTCTGCCTCCCAATGTGCTGGGATTACAGGATTGAGCCACTGCACCCTGCTGGTCTTCTAATTTTTAAACATCTGGTTTCTCTTCAACCATAGGCAGCTTCTCATTTGTAATCTGTTCTGTATACTTTCTATAAGCTGCATTTTTAGGGATTTACTCAAGAACATTAAAAAAAAAAAAAACCCTTGTGTATAATATTCTTAGCCTCTTTTGTGGATTCTCACATACAGCCAATTCCACAAGGCCAGTGGTCTTCTTCAGCACCCTTGCCATGACCCTGGAGAATTAAAAAAAAAAAATTTCTTTTTCGTAGAGATAAGGTCTCCATATGTTGCCCAGGCTGGTTGGACTCCTGGCCTCCAGTGTTCTTCCGGTCTCGGCCTCCCAAAGCATTTGTCCATTTTAAAATTGGGTTGTCTCATTGTTATTGGGTTATAACAGTTTTTTTCTATATATATTCAGGACACTAAACTCTTATAAGATATGTGATGTGTAAATCTTTTCTCCCATTCTGTATCCTTTTCACTTTCTTAATCATGTTAAAGTTTTTAATTTTGAAGTCGAATTTATATAATTTTTAAAATTGTTGTTTATGCTTTGTTTTCACCTAAAAATACATTGCCAAATTCAGTGTCATAAAGTTTACCCTTATGTTTTAAAATCTAATCTTAAAGACTTTCTCTATTGTTATGGTCTTAGTTCTTATATTTAGGTTGTTGATCTATCTTAAGTTTATTTTTAAATATGGTGTGAGGTAGGGAGTCCAGCTTAATTATTTTGCAGGTGGATATCCAGTTGTTCTAGCACTATTTGTTGAAGAAGACTATTCTTCTCTCATGGAATGGTCTTGTCACTCTTGTTGAAAATTAATTGCCATAGATGTATAGGTTTATTACTGGACTCTCACTTCTATTTCCTTGGTCCACGTGTCTATCCTTATGCCAGTGCTACATGTTTTGATTACTGTAGCTTTGTAGCAAGTGTCAAATTAGGGAAGTAAAAGTACTCCAACTTTGTTCTTTTTCAAGATGGGTTTAGTTCTTAAGGATTCCTTTCAATGCCACATGAATTTAAGGATCAGCTTGTTCATTTATGCAAAACATGCCATTGGAATTTTGATGGGGATTGCATTTAATCTGTAGATCAATTTATGGAGTACTGCCATCTTTATAATAAGTCTTCCAACTCATCCACACAAAATGTCTTCTTATATGTATGTGCTATATAACAAAGTTTTGGTCATTACATACAGCATTGGTCCCATAAGATAGGGAACTGGGGCCAGGCGTGGTGGCTCACTCCTGTAATCCTAACACTTTGGGAGGCCAAGGTGGGCGGATCACCTGAGGTCAGGAGTTCAACACCAGCCTGACCAACATAGAGAAACCCCCATCTCTACTAAAAATACAAAAGTAGCTGGGTGTGGTAGCTCGTGCCTATAATTGTAGCTACTCAGGAGGCTGAAGCAGGAAAATCGCTTGAAAGTAGAAGGTGGAGGTTGTGGTGAGCCAATATCACACCACTGCACTCCAGCCAGGGCAACAAGAGCAAAACTCCATCTCAAAAAAAAAAAAAAAAAAAAAAAAAGATGGAACTGGAAAATTCCCATCACCTAGTGACACCATGATGATCCTGACCCCATCTAGGCCTGAATTAATGCGTGGCATGTCTTAGTTTTTGACAAAAAAGTTAAAAAAGTAACAAAGAAAGAATAAAGTCTATAGGATTAAGATACAAAGAAAGAAAATATTTTTGTATAGCTGTACAAATGTTTGTGTTTTAAGCTAATTGCTAATACAAAAGAGTCAAAAAGGGTTTTAAAAATTAAGGTTAATAAAATTAAAAAGGTAGAAGAAGCTAAGGTTAATTTATTATTGAACAAAATATTTTGTATAAATTTAGTGGAGTTTAGGGATACACTGTTTATAAAGCATACAGTATTATACAGTAATGTTCTAGGCCTTCATATTCACTCACCACTCACTCACTCACTGGCTCACTCTCACTTGTAGCAACTTCTGGTGCTACAAACTCTATTCATGGTAAATGCCTTATGCAGTTTTACTATTTTAAATCTTTTATACCATATTTTAAAGCTGTATTTTTTTATATTTAGATAGACAAATACCATTGTGTTACAGTTGTCTACAGTATTCAGTATAGTAACATACTGTACAGGTTTGTAGCCTAGGAGCAATAGGCTATACCACAGAGCCCAGGCGTGTAGTAGGCTGTGTACCGTCTAGGTTAGTATATGTACCCTCTGATATCCACACAATGATGAAATCATGTAACAATGCATTTCTCAGAATATGTATTCCTATTATTAAGTCATGCATGAGTGTATTTAGGTCTTTGATTTCTCTCTCTTTTTTTGTGAGATGGAGTCTCGCTCTTTTGCCCAGGCTGGAGTGTAATGGCATGATCTCAGCTCATTGCACCTGGGTTCAAACGATTCTCCAGTCTCAGCCTCCTGAGTAGCTGGGATCACTGGTGCCTGCCACCACACCTGGCTAATTTTTGCATTTTTAGTCGAGATGAGGTTTCACCATGTTGATCAGACTGCTCTTGAACTGACCTCGTGATTCCCCCCTCCTTGGCCTCCCAAAGTGCTGGGATTACAGGTGTGAGCCACCACGCCCAGCCATAGGTCTTTGATTTCTTTCAGCATTGTTTTGGTTTTCAGTGTGCAAGTCTTTCACCTTGTCAGTTAGTATTATTCCTAGATATTTTATTATTTTGCATTCTATTGTAAGTGAAATTGTTTTCTTAATTTCCTTTTCAGATT